ATTAAGTAGCTGCATTGGTTACTTTTACGTCACTGATAAAGCTTTTATATGTAGTTTGGGGTAACAAAGGGGTTTTATAGGTTTGACTGAAATAATAATGCAATAACTGACACTTTAAATCAATGTTTCAAGAAACAACAACAAAAATGTTTTTAACAAAAAACAGATAAAGACAAAAAAGTATTTGATAATATCTAAACAATATGTAGTAGTATAGTATATAGTATCCAAATGAAAATGTAATAAAATGAATTTATGTGTGATTTATGTGTAAATTATGTGCAACGTCTTAGCCACTAGGGATTGTTACATAGGGCTATACAGGCATCTAGTGGCAACACAATGATATTACAGAACCTAAATTGTGCAAAATGTTTATCTTAACAGTCAATTTACAAATAATGCATTCAGATTTGTGGAACTCAATGCACTGAATCTCCACAAATTAGTGTCGTTACTATGACAACCAATTTGAATGTGACAAGCAACTGGTGTCTGAAAATAATTATTTATATATATAATAGGGCAATAGGGATTTTGCCTAGGGCGTCAAATTGGCTAGAAACGGCCCTGCACCTGAACACACCTCGTTTTCCGACCAGCACGCCCATGAGTGCACAAATGCATTAGCTATTTAAACAACGTGGCACAGGACGTGAAAATGACAACTGCGTCTGGCTGAAACTAGCAAAAATCACTTGCGTCGCGCCTGGCGCCGCATTGCACCGGGTGTATGATAGAGCCCTCTGTATTATAACGGCCCTGCACCTGAACACACCTCGTTTTCCGACCAGCACGCCCATGAGTGCACAAATGCATTAGCTATTTAAACAACGTGGCACAGGACGTGAAAATGACAACTGCGTCTGGCTGAAACTAGCAAAAATCACTTGCGTCGCGCCTGGCGCCGCATTGCACCGGGTGTATGATAGAGCCCTCTGTATTATAGTTGTGATGTGAACATCAATGTTCTCATAGAATTAGAACCATTTTTAAAATGTTCTAATTATTGTTATAGTTACCGTCCTTAGTGTGACAGAGTCTTAAGAAATTACTAAATGCTATGAAAATTAAGGAAATCATAGAATGTGGACTTTTAATTATTTTTTCTCCATAAATACATACAAATGATAAGGATTTTATCTTTTTATTTTTACATGGAGTGCGGCTTGCCTTTGCCTTTGTTTTGTTCTGTGTGAGTTTGTGAAGGGTCACTATATAATCATGATTTGGTGCCCTGACAGGTGGGAGGACACACAATGCTGCCCATTCGCTGGATGCCACCAGAAAGCATCATGTACAGGAAGTTTTATTTTTTCTCCATAAATACATACAAATAATAAGGATTTTATATTTTTATTTTTACATGGAGTGCGGCTTGCCTTTGCTAATATTGAGTTCTGTGAGTTTGTGAAGGGTCACTATATAATCCTGATTTGGTGCCCTGACAGGTGGGAGGACACACAATGCTGCCCATTCGCTGGATGCCACCAGAAAGCATCATGTACAGGAAGTTCACGACGGAGAGTGACGTGTGGAGCTTCGGCGTCATCCTCTGGGAGATCTTCACCTATGGCAAGCAGCCATGGTTTCAGCTGGCAAATAATGAGGTATGCTCATTTTATCTGCGAACGACAGTCAGATTTGATTTATCCCGTGAGGAGAGTGGAGCTGACTGACAAGAGTGAGGTGAGAAAGAAAAGACGATGGCAGAAGATTGTTTAGAAAGGAAATGCAAAGGCACCTGTTTGGCACTATTTTAGATTTTAAAAAACCTATTGACTGGAAGTTTTTTTAAACATTAGTTTCTTATTTATTTGGTTCCACAGTGTTTGCCGCTAATTTGAAAGTGAAAGTAAAACGTGCACAACATTTTTTCAAGCTATTTGAAAGCCAAGAAATCCAAGGAAAAGAGGGAAAACTCAAATGAACAATCGCTTGACGCCGAATTGCGGCAATTCAATGGCTGCTAATTTGAAAGTGAAAGTAAAATGCTCACGGCACTTTTACAAGCCATTTGAAAGCGAAGAAAAGAGGGAAACTCAAACTAAATAACCCCCACCACCCCTCACCCCCCCAACGGTGATACCGGTATTACCGGTGTTGTCACACGTCGATTAATTAATAATACATTTCCTCACCGTCACAACCCTACTTTGATCAAGCATTATTAGTAAACCACCACCACTGTATGACTGCTGTATAGGTGAAAGCAAGGAGTAGAGACCCATGTGAGATAACAATAAAAAGTGGAGATGGAATGTCTGTACTGGACAAAAACTGGATCTGGATTGTGACTCCCACAATCCTGACAATTATGTAGCAATATGAGACACATTCAGTGCTAATTTTAGTGTAGCTTCTGGTGATTGTATGTAACCAGGGTCAAAATAAATGAAGTCTTCAGGCAGGATGACAAACGAGGCGAAATTAAACAATCACTGGGCTGTTATAGTGAGTCATTTGACAGTTATTGACCGTAACTCAAGCTCATCTCGAACATGACTTCCTTCTATGAAATAAACAGGACATACACATTGAAATGTCATGTTGCTGGCATATTCATCACACACACATTCCCTTTTGTGACACGTTAATGAGGAACATCGCTGCTTAATTTTCGGCTATTGTTCACCATGTAACATTTAACAACTAAGGTTTGGATGAACTCCAAACAGTCGCGTACATATAGAGATGCTGCTCCCAAACTCTTCCATGTGTCTGAATAGCAAAGATTATTATTTACCTTTTCACAAAAACCTTATAATTACCACTATTGAACTAAATGTTATGGTTAAGGGCCTTATAACATTGTGTCTGCTACTGTTACTAAACTGGGCTTTCTGCCGTTATTTATGTCTTCAAAATAAAATATTGCAACCAAATATTCCCATGTGCAGAAAATATGGGGGTAGAATTGTTGCTTAATTCCAAATAAATAGATTATGTATATATATATATATAAACGAATATATACTTTACAATGAAAATTGATAAATAATAGTTATTACATTGTTAAATGTTCTTATATTTATATTATCATATAATTACACTAATGATTATCTAATAAGAATCGTCATTGGGAATAAAGGCAATTATGAGTTGGAAAAATACAATTATAATAGACCTAAAAAGCTTAATTTTCTGTATGCAAAATATATTTTGTGAAATGGATGTATATATACATTACAATGATATATACAATATATATACACATTACAATAAATAAAAACAGTAATTACATTTTAAATATTCATATATATATAATTATGTAATTACAGTAATGATAATCTAATAAGAATCATCATTGTGAAAGATGGCAATTACTGTGTAAGCTGGACAAATGCAAACACTCATAATAGTCCTAAATTAATAATCCTATTCTATGATAGTTATATAATAGTTACTAGTACAAAGTTGCTAAAAAATATATTTTATTTTATTCACATTTCTAAACAAGAATCAGAAGAGAACAGACACCAGAAATATAAAGTAGAGAGTCTGTGTGAGATAGTGTGTTCTGTTTTTCTCTGCTGACCAAACACAGCTGGATCTGCCGCAAATACTTCATTCCCCACTTCAGCTTCCCAAGCTGTGAAAAGTGAAAAAAGCCACAGCACTTCTTTTGAAGCTTCAAGTCGCAGCTGGTTTGAGCACTACTTCACACAGAGATTATCAATATCAACTCAGTGAACCATAATCTATAGGTGCTGTGCAATTTATGCAAGAATGATGTGTTTTTGTATTATGCACTGAATACCAATCACATGCACTGTTTCATATTCTGTTGCCAAAGGGACGGTGGCTACTGTATTGCATCAGAACATATGGTGTCATTTCTGCCAGTGGAAGAAACTAAATCAAACTTTCAGTCAATAGAACACAGACAGCCACTAGCTGGAGTCAGCGAGGGGACCCCGAGAGACCACGAACAATCATCTGTCTCTTCTAAAAGTCGATACGAAGCCATCCACAGAGGCAAATGTCTTTAAAAGTTTCATGAGATGGTCCCATTTTGCGTATCATAACATACAGGCTGTAGATGGTTTCTCTACAGAAACAGAAAAAATGTTAAATGAGAAAAAAGTATCTTGTACAAAAAATAAATAAATCAGTTCTTCAGACTGTCAGCAGGTCCTCTCACAGCATCTGACTGCAGCATAAAATACAAGAGAGTACTCGTGTTACAGTTTGGAGCCAAGCTGCATCAGATATTTCAAGAAAAAAAAATACTCATGGTGTGTAAACAGAATTTAGAAAGGAACCTCTTAATTTTGATAGCACTTTTCTTGCGTCTTGTGATTTCAAGATGATTAAAAAAAAAAGAAAAATCTGAAATCTCAGAGAAGAATTGCAGTACCCATAATCCACAGTCCATCAGATTTCCTTCAGAAATCATTCTAATATGCTGATTTGGTCCTCAAGAAAAATGTATTGTAATTGAACTATGGCCTAATCCTGGCTTAGTCTAAGCCCTGTCTATGAAACCAGGACTATATAAAAAAAAATCTTACTGACCACAAACATTTAAACAGTACATTGTAAAAACAGTAGCCAATAAAACGAATAGTAGTAAATAAAAATAAAAATTAGCATATCTTTTTTTGGAGAACATTTTCATCCTGTGTCGATATTTTTCCCCGTCGCTCCACGATGAAACAGGCCGTCCAATCAGATTTGAGCTTAGATCCCGTGCCCAGAGCAGCTGCTGTTGCACAAAAGGGTGAGAGTGGTGGCGCTGGTTCGAAAAAATAAACATGATTATGACGATATATTTTCTGTATGTGTTTTGTATGCTCATGGTAATTTTATAACAATAAAGGACGTTTATGACAATAAGCAGTGTGGCGTTATTAAACATAGCCTACAAAGAGTGCATGTCTGCCTATTATAGAATCAAAATCAACTATAGATCACAATCGGAAGTAATTACAAGCACTCAATGATGGTTTATAGTGGGTTTTAAGCAAAAACAATAATCACATAAATTTTCAAATGTGGCTTGATACTTAAATGTACTTATATTTATATTTTAAGATGTTTTCTTGAAAGCATTATAGATAGTTTGTGTTTCTGGCATAGAACCAAACTTTATTTAGCTATATTTAATGCTGTATATTGAGCAGTGGACGATGTTAAATCCATATATGAGATACATATCTGAGTAAAAATGCATTGCTGGTCAGCACCACCTAGCGTGCAGGCGTGAATTAGCAGAAGGCGATCAATCGTTTCGTGCTCGGTGTGAAAGCAACGTTCGTCGGCAATTCGCCTCGCGCTCAGTGTGGAACTTGCTATTTCTTTAGTACTTGTGAATTTAACTAGCAAATTCTGAAATATCTGAAAATTGTTAGTAAATCCTACACCAAAGTATTTTCTGTGTAGTTTATTTATATGTTTGAATATTTTGAAATCAGTAAAATGGTTAGTTTGGTTCAAGTCTTAGAATAATTTTGAGTAAAAAAAAAGTTACCTTTAATTTAAGATGAAGTTCAGCTAAATGCTTTATTGTTCCTCTTACATGTAGCCTATATTACTGTATACATTAATGATATTTTTTTATAACTTCAATAAAAAACGTATATAAATACCTATAGGCCAGGCTTAAAATTCAACGCACAAGTTTATAAAGTATGTAAGAGGAGACCTTGGCCTGGAAAAGACCCCTGCAATAGAATATTTATCCAGTAATTCCATTCTCCTTCCTCCCCGTCTTCACAGGTAATCGAATGCATCACACAAGGACGCGTGCTGGAGAGGCCACGGATTTGTCCCAAGGAAGTATACGACATTATGCTGGGATGCTGGCAGAGGGAACCGCAGCAGAGGTTGAACATCAAAGACATCCAGAAAATTCTTTATACCTTGGGCAAAGCCACACCTGTCTACCTGGATATCCTTGGCTAGTGTTTGTTGGCAATATGTGTGGATGTCTGTCTGCGTCTATCCATCGGAGGAACGAACAATCTGGGATTTACCCTAAACAACACGTACCTTACTGCGCCACTGTCAGACACCTGCAACATGGGGATGGACTTAAGTGCCTGCTACTCCTTTCGATACACTGGATAACAGTCTTTAAAAAGCACTTTTACATTTTGTTTACCTGCATATAAAGATGTACTGTTCTTCAAGAAGAGGAGTCTCCTTTGTCCATTTCTTTTTTCTTTTCGTTTTGGTAAAAACAGCCTACTTTCAAACTCTAAAAAAGGAATAATGGAAAATTCCCCCTAAAGTACGGAGAAAAAAAAGGTTTTTTTTTTTCCTGACTGCTTGACAACTCTCCCAGTGGTTACATGTTTTTCATTTTATAAATATATATATTTTTATTTATTTTTCTTTCTCTGAGTGTGGATGTATGCCATGTTTCTTGCTGAGGGTATATCGCCTTTCGGATATGACTGCTTACCGTTGCCATGTCAGATGATTGGCAAGGACTTAAAAAAAAAGCCTTACTGCGCTCTGATTGGCCGGATCTTCTCTTTGACTCTACAGGAAGTATCCAACAGGGCTTTTAAATATTCTGAGGCGCTTTTTAGTGAACGGATTAATTTGAAGAAACCACCAATCAATACAAAGGAGTTTATTTAGAAAAAAAAAACAAGGAATGTAAATAATGTAAATTTATGTGTCACAAGTGACAATATGTTAACTTATTTCATTTTCCGATTAGATGATTTTAGTTCCTTGGCGTGCTGTTATGGTGAGTGAATTCTATAAATATTTTGATAATATTTTAACGTTTTTTTTTTCCACATGTCCATAGAATGTAAGTTGATATTTCTAAATGAACTTTTTTTTTTCTCATTTCCCCCTTTGTTCGGTTTGGTTGCAACCAAAAGGGAAAATCATGAGACATAGCCTCGCTCCTTGTATTCCAGAGACCATTTGCTTCTGAAATGAATGTAATAGAAAAGGTAGATTCATTTCCCAAGCGAGATCTTGCCCAGAAAATACTCATATTCCATTCATTAACCCTCATTGCATTTATGAATTGTGATTATGCTTCTTTGCAAACGTATTATAGCATTTTTCCCCATAGTTTGAGTAATAAAAGAGAGATGGTTAGGCTATCTTTAAGAACTTGCATGTGCAAACTTTTTTTTTTTTTTTTAAACATATGTAAATTCCATAAGAAACACTGTCCTTTCCGAGTTCGGCAACTATTTCTTTACTCCTTTCCTCTAGTAAATATTGTAGCCACTAATAGAGTCATCAAAATATAATAGAAGAGAGTCCATAACAATGTTTTGGATTCTGTCAGGTAATAAATATTCTTTTCTCCCCAATGTTTTACAATAGAAGACTGTAAACACAATAATGCGGTAACTTAATTGTGTATTCAAAATGGAGCTTTCCTAAGACTAAAGGGCTTCTTTGGAACATTCTTCATTTATTCTGAAGTGAAGACATTTGGATTTTATTGTAATGTGTTCTCTTGTTCACAGTTTTGCTGGTTCATGCTTTTCATTCAAGGTGATCTGTGGATCAGTGTTTGCCTGATGATAAATCTGTAATCATTGCATGTGGAGTAAATCAGCCAAGTAAACTTTAGTTCAGCTTTGGCAGCAGATGTATGCAAACTATTCTTGAGCATAAAATCCGTAACATTTTCAAAAATTCATCCAGAATTTTGCTTAACCCTAAAATATATTAACAGCGTAACATTAATATGTAGTTCTTGTGTTTCCGAGTGCTCACTTTGACACTCTTTATCCCAACCAAACCAAAGTGAAAACGGTCAAAAACTTTCCTGCTTTTCCCAGCTCTCTATCAGGAACCATGACTTAAATTGCTGTTCGAGACAACCTGCCCATCACAATTCGACAGAACACATTTGCGCTTAACCATAATCTCACCCTTCACATCAGGAAAAGTTCCTCGCACAGAGGTAGTGACTTAAACATTTGTTGATCTTGTTGTGTTGTTTCTTTCTGCTTCCCACAGTGGCCAGATAATTCTCTCCACGTCTATGACAAGGGGGAAATTGCAAAAGTCTTTCAATAACACCGCCAGCGATGTGCTTACGTGTGATAAGATGCTTCTCATTTCTATATTTTCGTCGTCTGTGGGGCCCTGCTGTAGATATTCACTGACTTTATAATTTTGCCCAAGCTTTCGTGCAAAAAAGTAACAGAGGAGATTTACTCTGGTATGGGTACCCAAATACTTGCTTGAGGTTTATTAAGTAAACAGGTGCACCTGTGTCCTGGACGAGCCCCCAATTCGAATCCTCTTTACTGAATATAATTTCTGCAAATCGCTCATTGATATGGCATTTCAGATTTTACATGTCAATTGTAGTACACAGTGAGTATTCACGCTGAATTAGGTTCTAATTGGAAGGAAACAGACAAAATGTCACATTTGGCAATGACGCCAATTCCCTGCTTTCCTGTAGAGAGACAAGACTTGGAGAATGCATGTGGGGACAATTTCAGAATATGAAAATTATATGTTAACATGAACAGGCTATTAGTTCTTTGGTCAACCCCTTTTTCAATGTGGGCAATTTTCTGAAAAAAAAAAAAAAAAACTTTCTTGCCCACTCAGATTTCTCCTAATGAAATACTGGTTTATTCAAAAGCTAAACACTATTATTAGCGCTAGTTGCAGTTTTTAGTGATTTTATATTCATTTAATCATTAGAACATTTTCTGGGCACTTGTTTTATGACTGGCCAACACTGTTCAGCTTGTGAAACAAGCTTTATACCCTCCTATATTGCTTCTCACCATGTTTATGTTTGTAACAAATAAAGCTGCATTTAGTTCCTACCTGTTTCCCGAAGAGGACTAAAGGTTGTGTCTCACTGTTGTGAATTGGTTGAGGCAGCGATTACTGAAGATTATTTGAGTCATTGGGTACATAACTGTGACTAACAGGGTTGAAAGAGTCAAACATTTCTCTGTGGTTTACTCGGTGAGACCGATCGTTGCTCAATGACCTGTGAAAGGTGGATTATACTAACATGGCGAAGAGAGGTGGGGTGGCGTTAGCTGCAGGGTGACTGTATCTTTATCCCCTGAAGCTGTCGGAGAACAGGCGCGAACCAAATTAGTAGTTTCTGTAATGAAAGGACACGAGCGTATGAGCCACAGCTGGTTTGGAGAGGGGGATCAGATGAGAGAGAGAGTGTGACAGCAGGGTGACAGTATGGCAGCTCCAGGGGTTGCCGTGACTCTAATGACTTCACCTTGCAGAAATGGGTGGAAATTACTTTTAGATATCCCTTAAATATGATGGTCAGTCTTTCGTAATCCCCGAGGCAGAGAAGAGAGGTGTGTGTGGTTGTGTCGGTGTGCGCAAGAAAGCGAGGGGTAGGAGAGATGAATCAGTGAAGGTCACATGCTAAAAGAGTGGATAGAAGTGCCACAGCGCTGTCTGTTGGCAGGCTAACAGAGCTGAGTTAAGCATTCAGAGCTGTGAGGCAAGCAGAATCTCCCTCTCTCGCTTACCGCCGCCATGGCAGCGAACAGGCGCAGGGCGATTGATGAGAGGTTTAAGACCTTAATCATGAAGAGAAGAAGCGAGGCAGGAAGCTGGAACATTACGTCTGGAATGAGCTCTCTTTCAGCACTTCATAACCCGGCAGAAAGGCTGCAGAAACCTCGGCACTGTCACGCTTCGCTGCTGATCTCAGATCAGCCTTCTCCGCATCCATTTATCCTACCTCCTGTAGGCTTGATTTACCAAAGCATTTAATGCATGCAAGACTGCCTTACTGGGGCACAGTGAAGAAGAACAACTATAATTGGCAAATCACCTGCTAAAATGTTGCTAAAATCAGATGCAATCAAAACGTTTTAACACATCATGTGTTAACTTTTTTACCCGAATTCCTGCATTTGATATATTCCGTTTTGAGCACTCAGAGGCAATACTAATCCAAGCGTAGCTTCTTTAGAAACCAGTAACAACCCCATCAAATTAGCCAACCAGCATTTAGAACTCATTTAGCACCCCGACACTTGATGTGGCCACCTGGAGCAATAATCTCCAAGAGATGCAGTCACGCTGAATATCTTACTGATTGAATCAGTTATCCCAATTTGTTGTTGCTGCAGATCTTCAGCTGTCACTGTGGCTTGCATAAAACATGCTATCCGTTTTTTGCCCACATAATAAAACTAATTTTCATTGCCTTCATAACATTTAATTAAAGTTCCTTATCTGATTTGAAACCCCACTCTTAAATTACAAATGAGACTACCAGAACAAGTCTTTATCTACCTCCAGTGCATTGCTGCTTAAGTACTCTTAATGTACTCTGGAAAGAAGCAGTTCAAACTTGTGGTCGAGTCATGGCACGCTCTGCTGATGATATGAATAACAATAGTGATGTTTTTATACATCTGAAGCAGCGATATCCCTGAGAAAGGGCCAGCTGCATTTTGAGAGCCTGACTCAGCTCACGCTGCAGTTGCTGTATACTCTGGGCACATGGACAAGCATGTGAACCTTGTTACTTAGAACCTAAAGTGATCTATAGTTTAGGCCGGCAGATCTCCTGAGCTGTGGGAAAAGCTGAACCCGGTTTCAAAGACAGTTGTGCATTAAACCCGGAAAGCCTGGCCAAATGCAACTCTGGTTTTCTTTAAAAGGGAGGTTAAAATTGACTGCGGCATTAAGACTTCAGATGGGGATGTCACCCCAGTGCAATCTCCTGCACTGTCAGCAGACTTTGACATCTAGATTAACCTTGCTGCTGTGAGCGTGCTGATGGCTCTCATTGGGATGCAAGAAGCATCTCGGATCTTCTATTCCAAAGGTATCTCGGCCCCCTCTTTCTAAAAAGTTTTTTCTCAAACATTAAAGACTTGATTAAAGAATGACAATTTAGATGAGATTCTTTTTTTTGTAAAATGGGGTCTTTTAAATAATTTTCTGTTTCAGATCGAACATCCATCTTTGCTTAATGGTAAATCTTGTGATGAAAGCCATAGATAGATAGTCTATTTAAGTGGTTCTCAAACCTCTCCATGAAGTACCCCCAGCAATGCACCCTCATCTATCACACCTGATTCAGCTCATCATCAGCTCATTAGTGGAGACTGCAAGGCCTGAAGTGGGTGTGTCAGATATAGGGAGGCATACAAAACGTGCAGTGCTGGGGGTACTTCATGGAGAGAAAAAATACACTTGTCTTTGTGTGATTTTTTAAAGTTTTAAATATTTTTCAAAATATATATATATTTTATAGACACACACAATGTTTTTGACAAACTATTTTTATCCTCACCAAGGCTGCAATTATTTGATAAAAAAATACTGTAAAAATAGTA